ATATCGCGACGAAATTCTATACCCTCTTGATCATTTTTTTATCGCTGCAGTGGTTACCTACGCGATATTTATGGAAGATAACGCCCGCCCGCAAAGAAGTCGAGTGGTGCGGAGTTACCTAGAGAGTGAAACCATTCCATATCTGCCATGGCCTGCTAGATCGCCGGACCTGAATCCCATGAAGCATGTGTGGGATATGTTGGAACAATGGACAGCAGGTTGCAGTGTGCCACCAGCACCCTTCCGCGAGCTGATATGTGTGTTACTACAGGAATGGGTGTTCCTGCCACAAGAAGCGATCAACGATACTATTGCCAGCTTGCTTCCTTGTTGTCAAGCGTGCATTTCAGGTGGAGGGAATCACACCCGTTATTAGTGTGGTGTTTCCATTGTACATTCTTCCGACCCATTTCGTCTTTCGCTATGTGATGGCCGTAATACATGCGTTTTTGTATGCCTTTGCTTTATTGTTTGCTATGCGTTCCTGTAATGCCATACGAATCTGTTGAATTAGTTTAACGCACATGCATTAAATAGTTTTTTTTATTCCGTGTTTTGCCTTTGCTACTTATTGAGCAGAAGTTTTCATGTAATTGTTTTGTTTCCTCTTAGTCATTATTTTTAGGCTCTATACAGTTTAAACTTGATTTTAATTATATAAGCTTCGCTTAACATTGGGGCATGTTTGTGGCTTACTTACTCAGCAGGTTATTTTAATTTTATTATTATTTTATTATTTTATTTTATATTATTTTATTATATTTTATTTATATATTATTTTTACTTTTATATTAGGATTTATATATATTTTATTTTATATTATTTTTATATATTATTTTAATTTTATATATTATATATTATTTTATATATTATTTATGTTATATATTATTTTAATATATTTTAATTTATATATTATTATATATTATTTATTTATTTATTTAAGTTATATATTATTTATATATTATTTTAATAAAGCTCTTTAATTACGGTTATACTAATGACGAAAAGGTTAGTTACATGATTGCTTTACGTGGTTTTCCCCACGAGTTTTTCTTAGAAAGTCCTTCCCAAAAGCCTATTTTCTCCTATGCAGATGTCTCGCGTTTGCTTTACCAGAATCAAAAGAACCTAACCTAACTTGAATTATGTGTTAAAGTTAAAAAGAAAATTTCAGTTCTTTTTATGGAATAACAGTTATTACAAATAATAAAATAGCAATAAATGCCTCCAATACGCATTATCACTTTGAGTTAAAAATTCAAAATGATTCAATAAAACTATAAAACTTTAAATTTTCTCACTAAGCCATGACTGAAAAGATATAATTGGTTCCTGAAGTCAATTAATTTCATGTGCGGCTTTTGCCGTCCTCTGTTGCAGCAAAACGATTATTAGAATAATAAGAGAAAAATAGTTTGAGAACGCTTCGGGGTTCATGAGCCTTGTCTCTCAAATTTATGATGAAATGATGATGGAATTTATTCTGACCACTTAATTAATTTTGTTCGACCATATCTTTTGTTCTCTTCTGAGATTATTTCCAAATTCTAATGTTATTTACACATTGTATATATCTTATATATATATGCGGCTTAAATGCTTGTCGCCGATAGTTTATTGGTTGCTTGCCCAACTGTAAATTGTTTTATTCCCCGTGGACTGCAGCGCGTGGCGAATATTATGAGAAAGCTAAGCCGAAAAAATTAAAAATACAAGAGCACGTGCATTTAACATTTAATAAATAAATTTAACATCTATAGAATTGGGAAATATGCAACCGGCAAAAACCGGCAACGATGAAAACAAATGAAATGAAATAAATAAAAATATCTTTATTATATGCGGCTTAAATGTCTGTTTGTCGCCGATAGTTTATTGGTTGCTTGCGTAACTGTACTAGCCAATAGGGTGAAGTTGCCACGGCACAGGGTTGCCGTTTCAATTGAGACGTAGACAATTTCCTGTAAAACTTGCCTTTGCTATGACCATCAATAAGTCTCAGGGCCAAATGCTTAAGCGTGTTGGCATTTTTTACCCGTTCCTGCATTTGGGCAGTGTGAGCTTTATGTTACCTGTTCAAGAGTTCGTGAAAGAACGGACGTAAAATTAAAAATAAATCATGGGCAAGGCGAGCTTAAAAATGATGGAAAGACCTACACAAGAAATGCTGTGTGCAAAGAGATCTTTGACATGTGAATTAACATTTTATTATTTAAATCACCTTTATTTATTGAGCTAGCTGTGACTCTTAAAAAATGTACCGTCAGTGGTTTCCTTCATTGCACTCTAAGCAATTAAGCAAGCAGAATGGGGAAACCCCGTGGAGCAGTAAGCAAAAGGGCGTCCTCGCCACCTGTCCTGGGTAATTCAGTTTGAATTAGCAGACACCCTTGTACAAATCATTTTAATTACAATTTATAATATCTAGAACAGCGGTCATTTCGTATGACCGCCGGGCTTTCTAGTTACAATATAACATAGTAATTAACCACATAATAATTAAGACAAGAATTTATCACATAACATACTTTTTACGAAGTTCTTTAAAAAGTCTCCCGTTTTTTAGTTTTGTTATTCACAATTTTTTTTTAATGAGCAACAATCTTTTTTCTTTTGGTAAAATTAATTATTTTAACGAATTAACGAATCTTTTTATCTCAGGCTTTTAAACACACAAGCGCTCGGTAGTTTATGTTAATAGTTTACGACAAAGTACTTAAAAAATATATGTCTAAGGAAAGGGATGTCTTTGAGGAAGACGTCCAAAAGAGACTTGCTCACGCTAAGCATGCGAAAAACCACGAGAATATTCATGCATTTAGTCATTTTGCTGGGATTCGAACATAGGGCGAATTGCCAGTATTTAGCGGTCTTTCCCACTCAGCCATTTGTGGGAAAGCTTTAGTGCATGCTTTTCATTATAAATCTACCCTAATTGGTGTGTAGCGTTTCTTGCTGCTATATCAGGTTCGAATCTCGGAGAAGGTTAAAGTGTTTGTAAGCATATAAAGTGTTTGCGGCATGAGGGAACTTAAAATGCATGGCTAGACAAAAACACTTTCGAGTTTTTTTATGGTAGAGGAAGAGGAACTGAGCAAAGACGTATTGTCACTTATAAAATGCCCAAGGTTGATGAGATAACTGATGTAATTCTCTCCTCCTAATCACTTTACCGCATTTCCTCACGCATTTTTCCTCTTTGTTTTAACCATCATCCGAAAATCCATAGGTAAAATTATGCGAGTAATTTAATTTCCAAAGAAGTCAGCTACAGTAAGAACGTAGCAAGTGAAAAGCGGTCATTGATAAACCGTGTGTATTCAGTGGCCGAGTGGAATAGAAATAAAAAGAATCAAGAGAATGCAATTTACCAATAAAATTAAAGCCCTTAGAGTAAAAACTGTATACTATACAGGATTTTAAAAAAATTTCGGAACCTAGGGCTAAATAGCTAGGAAGAAAATACGCGAGGAAATTCTGTATACATAATCACATTTGAATAAGGTAACATTTACACATTATATTGCAAGGGGTGACCAAAAATGTCAGTAAGAGCCGCAGAAATAATTACATTTTCCAAAAGCTACAAATCGATATTTACGTTATTTTAAAAGTAGTGAAACAAGTTAAAATGTAAAGAAATGTCTGGATTTTAAACAGTCATTCAATAATAGTTTCTCTTCAGTATGTGGTGATACGCCAAATGCAATGCAAAATTTTGAGGGGTGTAGTGTGTTTGTTTCTTCTAATTGTATCTTGATGCAGTAAAAAACACTCCTTCAGTTTTTAAATATATCTATTCTTCTGCGATACTTTTATCTTGTATAGGTTTATCTATCACAGCTTTGTAATGGTCATGGAACTTCGGATTCGTCTTAAATTCGTTTAAGCGACTCAGATCTTTTTTTTTTTGGGGGGGGGATACCTCAGAATTATTCCTTAATTCCCTTGTATACTCATTCTACTGGAAGCAGGCCGTATAACTGTTGCCCTAAACTTTTACAAGGTATAAAATCGTCTCCTAAGCTGTAACTGTCATCAGAAATTCCCAAAGCTTCTAACAGCCAAAAATTTCTCATGAATTTGGATATCGAACGAACTTCTAAATTATTTTTAAATTGAACCAAGTCTTGCACGGTAGTAAATGTTTCTGATGCATTACATGCGTTTTCTGTTCCACTCATAGACCACCTCAATTTACTTTCTACCGCTACTAATCATTTAGAAATTCCACAGACGATTTCTGTAAAGCATCTAAAAGTATCTTTCTTATCCATCCATTCATAAACATCACGAACAAATTCAGGTTTTTCGTTAATCTAAGATTTTCTTATAGAATTGTTTGAGAGATAGAATAGAATATTTCATTTTTCATTTTATTTTATTCATTCATTTATTTATTTTGATTGTTGTTTCTGAATGACATTATTAAGTTAACTTAAAAGTAACTTAAGTAACTTAAACGAAATGAAATAAAATAATTACTTTTGGACATTGATCAGTTTAAGTTTACTGTGTAAAAAGAAATTAAATTAATTATTTACTTTCTTTTGGTCATTGAGTAGTTTTAGTTTACCACGTTTCATATGTATATTTTATCTGAATAAGAACTGCAGTAGCCCGCGAGAGACATCCCTGTTATATATACAGCAAATTTTAAATTACTTGCATCATATAGGTAATATAAGTACATTTTATTTCGTTCTTAAGTACTTTAATCGCCTAATCCAGCTATTGATCAATTATCTGTTTAATTTAGAATGAATTAAAACACAGAGCACCCAAGCCTTCTGTCGCTTGAAAGCGTACAGTCGGCAGCAGACTGCGAATAAAACTGAAAAAGGGAGCAATGGCCACGGTTATGCCCCCCCCCGACCGGTGCCGTCTACTCATTGCGGTTCAGGAGGGCGAACTGACTATAAATTCGATGTCTATCTGGCTTTCCTTCTTTTCTGCTAAAAACACGTTCTGCCACGCTGCGCTCCGATACGCATGCGCAAAAGGGGCCGGTCGAACCAGCCATCCTCTCATCACACCGTTCATTCGGTGACCGGTTACGGTCGCAGTGAGTCGCGTAAGCGGTCTGCTTCGAATCGAAAAGTGAACTGAAACAAAATCGCGCATGGTCCTTAGACGAATCTTATAAAAAAAGAAGTTTCATTTTTTATTTTTATTTTTTATTTTTTTAACCCTCTACCGCTTCACATCTTGTTCGAGTTTGGAAAGGTGGTGTTCTTTTTCATTTTTCAATCCCATATTTTGCGTCGTGTGCTTGCTTAGTCGTAGACACTGAAGAGGATATATATATATTGTTTGTTTGTATCGACATTAAACATTGTTGATTTTTTTCATCTCTCGTGATCATGCTGAAGCTGGAAATGAACATGAGGATACTGACATTGCTTGTCATTGGAATAATTGCTGTCACCGCATCTACTGATGGTGAGTAACAAAGTAACGCATTTAAAACAGCTAAATAAAGGAAATATTTGTTTTAAATGATTGCATATTTTGGTGGGGAAGTACACCTCAATATAGGAAAATCATGTTGCTGCATTTAAAGTTCATAAGCAAAATTGAACGAAATTTGAGCAACAGTAGTAATCCTCACTTCGGAATGGGTGTAGGAAATACGAATCAATAAAAGAGGGACTATTGAGCAGCCAGCGAGAATATCACAAAAATTTTTCTCACATGTGCGATGCTTTATTATGGTTAAATTAATCGATAAATAATACAGCTTCAAAAGTTAACTAGTGAATAAATTCCAAGTAATTCTTTCGCTTTCAACAGCAATTAAGCTCAATAGAGAAATTTTTATTCTAAAATTTCTTTAAAAGTTTAAGCATTCAAAGAAAACATATATGTCTCGGATCATCTAGATCAGGGTTAGAAAATCCCCGCTGGCTGACGAAAACTTCATAGTTTAAAGGGGACGGGAACGTCCTCAGCTTTTTTAGTCAGCTGATAAATATTTAGTTTTAATTTATGATTATAAAAATCTATTTTTATTCAAGCTTTTGATTTATCAATATTTTGTATATATTTTTTTGTTTAATTTATAAAATTGCACTAAAAAGTAATCTAAATCTAAACAAATGCATCTGTATTCTTCGAGTTTTCTAAATGAGGGGATGATATCCTAACAATGAAGAAAGGAGAGCATGATTAAACCTAATTGCGGGAACCACTGGTCTAGACGATGTCAGATTACTCTGAGAAATCAAGTGACTTAACTGTACGTTAGGATTCATCACAATAATTAAATGCAGCTGGTTGAGGTATATATAATACGTCTTGTAATAAAAATTACTGGTTCAGTTTTAATAGAGGGAAAAGTTTAAAATCATAAATTTGCAGTGACAATATAATGCATAGATCTTGTTTATAATTATATCAGTTGCAAATATTCGCCACGAACTTACCTAACAATTAAAATTTTTATATTAATTCATATAAAAATATGACTGAAACCATTTTAATTACAGTCCTGAGAAATGTAATTTACATCATCTTTTTTCTGCAATGGACGATGATTACCACATTTTAATTAAATCGAATACTTTTATCATTTTAAAATAAAAGTATTATTATTTTCAATTCATCTTTACACATGATTTTTAGCAAGTATTTCTAAACAAAAATACCCGAATTAAAAGCTAAACCTTATTGTTTATAATTAAAAAGACAGTTAATGGATGACTTTTTATGCATATGTGAACGTACATCACATGCCCATGCATTATTATCGTACATCGCATGCTCATCCATTTTTAGACATTTTAAATTTCTTATATTTTTGTCGATAGTTAGAATGGCACCGTCTTTATTTTGTCTATTATTTAAAATCTTAAACATTATTATATCGTTTCTTTTGGTACGGTAACGCTTTCATTGCTTTTGATAAGAATAGTTAGAAATTCCTCCTAATTGTAAAACCAAATTGGTTGCATCTCTAACATAGAGAACATTTCTGAAATTATAATAAATGCTTATTTCAGAAAAAAAACACACACCGCGTTAACATTTTTTTCTGAAATAAGCATAAGTAACTATAGAAGAAGTTAATATAATATAAAACGCTTATATTTCGAATGATCAATTGCCGAATAAGGAAATTACATTTCTTTTCGCATTCAGTTTTCTGCATTTTTTTTACATAAGAAACTTTTCTCTTAGTTTAACGTATGCAACTTTTAGCACACATTTTTTGTTTTTGTTTTAATCAGTACGAAAATCCACTTAATATTAAAGTGTGAAGGGAATTTCATAACTCAAGATTATGATAGACAGTTGATGATCACGAAGCAGGAGTTGCGAAAACCATGTTAAAGACTGTGAAAAACTTTTATGGACTTAAACAAAATGCAATATTCACGCTTGTTAAACCTAAGTTTAAAAAATATACAAAAATATGTTTTTTTTAAATTTTGGTTGCATAATGTATATACATACATATTAAATTCAAAAAGAATCATTTTGAAATCAAGCCTATTTAGAATCTTGTTTTTATTTTTGCTTTGCATGTATTTTAATGATATGATTTGTTATTTTTGGGAGTTAAAAATTACAATTAAACTAAAATGTTTAGCATTTTCAATTAATTTCAAATGCAAATCCTACTTCTGTAAAAAAGAGAGTAAGAGTAAAAAAAAAATATTAGCTTAATTTGTTTTAAAATAAAAGTTTTTGCTTTAACAGATATGAAGGAATGCTATATCATCAAAATAATGAATGATGAAAATAATGAAATAATATGTCACATTTAAATATTTTGCTTTGAAAAATTTCATTTTTTCGTGTTCACGTATAGGCAATTTTAAATTCTTTTAGATAAGGTTTAATTTAAAATAGCTATAGAAGAAAACACGGTATGTGCAATTTAATTGCATCTCATTTAATGTGTTCTTTTAACATTTAATTTTTAAATCATATTAAACATGCTTTTACCTTTTATGTAATATTTCAGATATATATTATGGACATTCTAATTGATTTTAATTTAATCAAATTAATTATATTGCATTCTGTATTAGTTTCTTATTATCGGAAATAAGCTATTAATCTCCAAACAGGATTTTTTTTTGTTGAGTCACTTTAAATATCATCTACTGTCAGCGCGTTACTTCACTTTTCATTCGAGGCTGTTGGCATTCAGCAAAAAGTAATATATTTTTCTTTCAAAATAAATTTGGCTATAATGGACTAGCAAAATAAGCTTTTAAAGAACATTAAATGCAATCCCTAAGAATATTATTGCTTTTTTTTTAACCGGATTGATTTAAATTAAAATGCATTTCATTCATGACATATTTAAATAAAAGAATTCAGTATTATTAAACTTTGAATGACGTTATATATTTCCGAAAATATGCAGAAGATATAGAACTTCCCCGTGTTAATTTGAATGTATCTTGTAAAATGTTTCGATTGTCCCATTTAGGCCATCTCTACGGATAACCTCCACTGAAAAGCCATAATAAACTTCAAAAAGGCCCTTTTGGACAACCTTTAGAACATGAACACTTTCTGACGTTTTAGCTGAAAGGGCCTATTAGTCTCGAAACTCGATTTTGGGTAGCCCACTGTAAATGAATTGTTTCACTTTTCATTCGAGTCTTGCTATTCGGAGAAACAGAAGTTATTATTATTTCATATTTAATCTGTATGCAACGGATAAATAAACTAAACTATTTAAAAGCAATAGAAATATTACATTTTTACTTCTTAATTGGTTTGGTTTCACTAAAAATGCATTTAATTCATGATATACCTAATTAAAAACATCAAACATCTTTATGAAATTACATTGTATATTAGGATAAATGTGTTTTCATCTAATATAGTACAATAAAATATTTCGCTCTTCCAGCTAGGCCATTTCTGTCGCTAATCTGTACTGACAGTTCATATTAAATCTAGGATCTTTTGGGCGATCACTAAAATATGAAAACTTTCAGACACTTTTAGAATTTTTTCAAATTTTTTTAAAATATTATTTTTTTATTTATCACAATTATTTTACAGCTGTAATACTTTTATCAAACTTTCAGAGAAATAAACTTTTTTACTTAGATAGGTATGAAATTTCCGATATGAGATTTTCAACAGTATTAAATTTATGAAGCTATATCAGTACTAGATTATTGAGAAACCAATGATTCAATTTTTATAGAAATTCCAATGAAGTAATAGTTAAAGAAAATAAAAAATATCGCTAAGATCTAGCATTAAAATACAACGAAGAAAAGTTTTGCCTTTCTTCAACTAGGAAAATGAATTATGCGATAATAATGTTTAAAATTCCGCCAAAGTCACTCTTGATGACATTTAAATCCGCCAAAAATAAAATCCCTTAAAATTTTCAGATTTCTCTAGTTATCTTATAAGGTATTTCTCCCACTTTCTAACCTTGCTTTTGGTTCCGAAACTTTTTTTTACCTAGACGCTTCTTAAAGCAATAGTTTTCTTCATCGATCTCCTTACATTTTTCTCTACAGTATGTGGCATACAACATAATCAGAATCATAACACAAATAATTCTGCATAAATTACTTAATAATATCAATTAAACTAAGAACATGAACAAAAGATTTTTAAAAAATATTTATCGGATTTTATTTATTATTTTTTGTATTATCTTTGGTTTTAATTTGCAGATATACGCAAGTTTTCAGAAACAAAATCAGTGATCCTACTTTCGCAAAAGTTCGATTTCAGTTAATGTGATGGCTGCGCTTGGTGTACTGACGTAATTTTTTTATTTTGGTGCAAAATTACTTATCTCAATTTTTAAAACACCAAGTAAGCATGTTTTTTGTTTTCCATACTAAATTGGCTTGAATAAAGCATAGTTTTACTAGGTAAGAAGAGCGGAAAGGCAATAATGTTGGTTTTTTAACAACTTTTATTTTGGGTTACTTCTCTAGTGTGACTTTTAGAATCTAAAACTTTGCGCACACATGTATTTTTGTATCAACGTGTTCCCGACTATGCTGATTAATTATTTTTGCGTCGACTATCGACCCATAGTCGATCCCTCGATCATCATTCACCCCTATAAAATCTGAACGAGCCCAGAGGATGCCTGTTGGGACTCTTGCTTTAAATATTTAAAATCCGTCGTATAAAATAACTACATACTTTGTTTGTTTTGATATTATAGGCAATCAGATATCTTCCCTGTTCTCCGACATATTCAAATAATATTTCATATTACAGACCAGAAAACTTATAAAAAATATTTTGCAGTAAGCTTTTGAAAGCGGATCTTTCAAAAGATTAGATCTGATACATAAAGTTTAAATACGGTAAAGAATTTGAAATCTAAATGCACAATTAAAACTTTGAAAATCATTTCATATTCTTCTGATCTAACTAAAGCTAAGAAATTCTTGTTATCATCATCGATTATTATGTTTCAGATTTTGCTCAAAGAATAT